TGGGACTGGGAGGGAGCCAGGATGGGGCCGGGATGGGACCGGGATGGAGCCAGGATGGGGCCGGGATGGGACCTGGATCGAGGTGGGATGGGGCCGGGATAGAGCCAGGAAACAGCCGGGATGGGACTGGGATGGAGCCGGGATGGGGCCGGGAGGGGACCTGGACCGAGGTGGGATGGGGCCGGGATAGAGCCAGGAAACAGCCGGGATGGGACCGGGATGGAGCCAGGATGGGGTCGGGAGGGGACCTGGATCGAGGTGGGATGGGGCCAGGATAGAGCCAGGAAACAGTCGGGATGGGACTGGGATGGAGCCAGGATGGGGCCGGGAGGGGACCAGGATGGAGCCAGGAGACAGCTGGGATGGGACTGGGATGGAGCTGGGATGGGACCAGGATGGGACCTGGATCGAGGTGGGATGGGGCCGGGATAGAGCCAGGAAACAGCCGGGATGGGACCGGGATGGAGCCAGGATGGGGTCGGGAGGGGACCTGGATCGAGGTGGGATGGGGCCAGGATAGAGCCAGGAAACAGTCGGGATGGGACTGGGATGGAGCCAGGATGGGGCCGGGAGGGGACCAGGATGGAGCCAGGAGACAGCTGGGATGGGACTGGGATGGAGCTGGGATGGGACCGGGATGGGACCTGGATCGAGGTGGGATGGGGCCGGGATAGAGCCAGGAAACAGCCGGGATGGGACTAGGATGGAGCCAGGATGGGGCCGGGATGGGACCAGGATCGCGACAGGATGGGACTAGGATGGAGCCAGGATGGGGCCGGGAGGGGACCAGGATGGAGCCAGGAGACAGCCGGGAGGGGGCTGGGATGGAGCCAGGATGGGACCTGGATCAAGGTGGGATGGGGCCGGGATAGAGCCAGGAAACAGCCGGGATGGGACCGGGATGGAGCCAGGATGGGACCTGGATCGAGGCGGCATGGGTCCGGGATAGAGCCAGGATCGTGACAGGATGGAGCCGGGATGGGACTAGGATGGAGCCAGGACGGAGCCAGGAGACAGCCGGGATGGGACTGGGATGGAGCCGGAATCAAGGGGGGATGGGACCAGGATGGGACCTGGATCGAGGCGGGATGGGGCCAAGATGGGAGCGGGATGGGGCCGGGATAGAGCCAGGATCGCAACAGGATGGGACTAGGATGGAGCCAGGATGGGGCCAGGAGGGGACCAGGAGACAGCCAGGATGGGCCTGGGATGGAGCCAGGATCAAGGCGGGATGGGACCTGGATCGAGACGGGATGGGGCCGGGAGACAGCCAGAATGGGGCCAGGATCGAGGTGGGATGGGGTCGGAATGGGACTGGGATCAAGGCAGGATGGGGCCGGATTGAGACCAAGATGGAACAGGGATAGAGCTGGGATGGGACCGGGATTGAGGCAGGATGGGGGCCAGGTGGGACCAGGATCAAGGCGGGATAAAACCGGGATAGAGCCAGGATGGAACTGGAATCGAGGTGGGATGGGAGCGGGGACAAAGACGGGATGATGCCAGGATGAGACCAGGCCAAAGTGGGGATAGGATCGGGATAAGATGGGAATAGAGTCGGGATGAGACTTAGAAAGGGCCAGGATAGCACCAGGTTGGAACCATGATGGGACTGGGATAGAACTGGGATGGGGTTGGGAAGAGGGATAATGCCCCGGGAATGGAACAAAGCACCAGGCAACACAGCGGGAATAGGACACCGGGAATGTTGCAAGGCACCAGGCAAGCCAGTGGGAACAGGGAGCTGGCACCGGGAATGGGGCCCCGGAACGTGATCCACGATTGTCCCGGAGCAAAGGCCTTTATTGAGCCCGGAGCGGCCCCCTGGCTCCGTGTCCGTTGGGATGCGGCCGCAGCAGCGCTAAACCTCGCTCTTTTCCTGGAAAAAGACACAAAAACAGGGAAGACAAAGGCGTGATCAGTCGGATGGAGCTCGGTGCTGTCCGTGCTTCCCGTTGTCCTGCTCCCATCCAGCCGGGAAAGCCCTCGGAGCCGGAGCCAGGCCTCCTCCCAGCCTGGGAAAGGCTGTGCCGGCCGCCTCGGAGCTGCCGGGAATCTGGGATTCACTGGGGTCACATGAGAGCCTTGGAAGTGCTGGAGCGCGGCGGCTCCGGGATGTTCCCTCCTCCGGAGCGGCCACGCTTGGCTCCCGGTGTCCATCCTGCTCTTGGGAATGCAGGGATGGGCCGGGCGCCGCGGCCGGATCCACATCCCATTCCCAGCACCGGCGCCACTCACCACAGAGCTGCCCTGAGCACAGGAATCCAAGGAAAGCTCTGTGGGAGAAAAATCCGGGAGCGTCAGCGGGAAGCCCAGCCGGAGCGTTTCCCACCTCGGCACGCGGCTGTCGGGACTCACCGCTCCCGGGATGTCGCTGCTCATTCCGGCGTGATTCCTGGGCCCTGCAAAGCGAAGCCGGTGACATTCCAGCGATGGCAACACCCCCGGATCCCTATGGATGCGGGGAGGTGCCGGCGCTCACCTCTTTGCCTGCCGAATCCTGGCTTTGCCTGCCAAGGAAGGAAGGAGATGGATGCAGCGGATCCCCCCGGATATCCGAGGGTACCTTAGACCCATCCGGCCAAATCCCTGCTCCATTTTTCTGGAATTTGCTGGAGCAAGGGGGAAGGAGGGGTGGAATCACCCGGAATTCGCACCTCGCCAGGCCAGCGCCGCCAGCGCACCCGCCAACCGCGCGAATCGCGCGG